ATGCAGCATTGGGGAGGGAGGTAACTCTGTCACTGCGTGTTCTAGGTGAACCGTGCTACACAGGGACGTGGAGGGATAGATGGGTGGCAAGGGGACAGATCTCCCGGTCCCTTGTGGCCTGGGCTAGCTAGGGGAGGGGAAGCGCATATTCTCTGACAGGGGGCCCAATAAGGGACCACCATCCTCCAGGCTCTAGGAGGACCCCTTCCTCCCCTCCCCGCCTCCCCGGGAGGGAGGAGGCTTCCGGGGGCAGACAGGCCTGGCCAAAAAAGGAAACTAAGAGAAACGGAAGCTTTCTGGCCCCAAAGTTACTAACCGGAGTAGAGGAAGTATGGTCAGTCTCTTGTGACATAGCCAGATGCCATGTGGTAGCTGTAATGAGGGACACGGGGCTGGGGGCAGAGGACAGGACGTCAACTGGGACCTCAGCTGTCAACTTCAGGATGACCCACTCCCACCACTGCCCCCCTGAGGGCTACTGACCTCTTCCCCAGCTCCGAGCCTCGGCTTACCACCTACACGTTAGGGGCCCTGGCCTGGCCCTTCACAAAGAAGGGTGCCCAGTTCTCCCTGTTTCTGCTGAGGGATGGAATGAGAGAGGGGTGCACAGCTTACACAAGCAGGCCAACCTCCTGCCCTCACCTGCAGCCCACTCCCCCCATGCTCCCTAGCCCAAGGAGTGATCTACACCACCCCCCAACCCCACCCCCCTTCCCCCCCAACTCCCCCCCCAAGGAGGTGAAGGTTCCTGGAAGGGGAAGCTGGTCACAGGAAGGGCATTTGCCCCTCCCCCATCAGCAGTGCCTAGATGGTGCTGGTGGAAACTCTTCCCCACCACGGAGAGCCTCTGCTGAGATATAGGCTGCCTCATCTGGAGAAGCCCGCAGTCAGGAGTTAGGTAGAAAGCTCTGGTCTCCCCAAACCCAGCCCTGGCTTCCCGTCAAGGAGCTATGACACTCCAGAGGCCTCCCCTGCCAGCCATGGTCCTTCCTCCCACTGCTGTATAAGGTCAAGTGGCCCAACTCAGATGTCCCCTCTTGCAAGAAACCTTTCTGGAGCCCCCAAGCCCTGGCTAACTCAATGTCTCCTTCCTGGGGGCACCCACTCAGCTCCTCTCCTCTCCCTGGTCCTAGTTGCAAGTTTTGGGGTCTGAAATCCTGTCACACCAGGTACCTCCTCCTATCCCTCCCCTCCCCAGCCGGCTTCTCCTCCTGCCATCCCAACTTACCACCTCTTCCAGGAAGCCCTCCCTGATTGGGCAGACTGGGTTAGGTACCTCTTCAACCCCATAGCTGCCCTCTGTTACAGGTCCTGCCTCGTTTTATTGTAACGGAAGGTTGACCTGCCTGTCTGTCTCCCCATCTACACTGAGAAGTCTCATCCCTGGGTCCCCAAGCCCTGCCCTGGGACCAATACAATGTTGGCCCCAGCAAATGTCAAATGTCAAACATGCTAAATTACTATGTCACCTTTGAGACTACAAACTAATGAACCACTTCCTCCAGCTGATCTCAGCCTTCAGCTCATGAGACAAAAAGATAGGAAAGAACACAAAACTCGAGGATTTCCCCTGACATCCCAGGTTTCAATTTCTCCTCGGTGCTAAGGTTTGAACTGGCCACCACAGCCTCTGCCCATCCCAGAGAGGCAGGAATCCCAGGGAATCCATGCTCTGATAAGTATAAACTCCCCGCTCCACCCACTTTGGGCATCTGAGGAAACTAAGCCTCAGAAAAAGGCAAGTACCCGTCCAGAGTCAACAGAAAATCAGGTCAAAGCCAGGACTAGAGCCAGGCTCCTGACCTCTGCTCTCTTTTCCCCACACTGTGGATGTCTTAGGCCTATGCCCACATCCACCGCACCCCAGCCTGCTCTCAGAATCTTCACTATCCAGGACGGAGGGGCCACACACCTTGGCCAGACACTCCCGGTGACGTCACCGAGTATCTCTCAGCTCAGGAAACCCCCTCCCTCCTCCTGGGAATTGCCCCCCTTCCCTGGTTCTGCAGGGGGAGTTCACCTTGAAGGTGATGAGCACATCTAAGTCCCCAAGGGGGCAAGGATTTCCACTGGAAATGCTGATGATGGGGAGCCCCAGCTGTGACCTCATCCCCTGGGGGAGATGACAACAAGCCCCTGCCCTGGGGAGTCACCCCATAATGGCTCCCCCAGCAGCCACCAATTGGACAAGAGAGAGCTCAGAACCAGCTGGGCAGGTAGAGACTGGAGTCTGGGCTGTTTCTCACTGTGGACATGCTGGTTCACTTCTGATCTTGGATGGAGGTCAGGACCTTCCTGGGCTTCTCCATCTCCTCCAAGCAGGGATGGAATGAGAGAGGGGTGCACAGCTTACACAGCATGCCAACCTCCTGCCCTCACCTGCAGCCCACTCCCCTCCAGTCCCTGCTGGCAGGGAGGTCAGGCCCACACTCTGCATCTGTGATTGGTCCATGTGTCACTGACGCCCTCAGAGGACAATCTCCAGAGCCCTTCCTGATCTGGCGAGCTCGGAGGGTCAGAGACAGGTGCAGAGTTCAAGGGCACCCAGCAGGTCAGTGTTGACACATCCGTCTCTCTCCGGCCAGGCCTTCATCGGGCTGGAGAGGCATCAGGCTGGGAATCTCCCAGAACTCTGGTTGAATTTTTCCCTGAAGCTCAGGAGTCTAAGCAACACCAAATAAACAACAGAGAAGAACCCTCCATACCTATTCCAGTCCCCACACCTGTCCTGGCTGAAAACTAAAACCCCAGTCTATGCCTCATAGAAAAGTAGCTTCAGAAACACCATTATCTTTGGTCTAGTCATTGGTGGAGGCCCACCCTCCCAGCACCCACCCCCTGGAAGACAGGGACCTAGGTCTACAGCAAGGCTGGAGGGGCCTCTTCTCAGCCTACTCCCCGATTTGGCCCGCCCAAGCCCATTCCTGTCCGACGGCCATGTGTCACCTCACAGGAAACAGGAGGCACCTGTCAGCCAGGCATACCATCACCAGCTGGTGGTCCTGGGGGAGAGGCTGATGGCAGGGTCTGTCTGGCCAGTGGGGCGCCTGGCACTGGCAAAGATGAGCCAAGACTGCCTCTGGACAAGATAGGTGAGGGGGTGGCAGATCCCAGTAGGGATCAATAGTGCATTACCCGCAGAGGGCATGGCCAGTGCAGCCCAGTGCGGTACAGTCGCGAACTGCGTGCAGTGGAAAGAAGAGCTGGAGCTGGGTTGGGAGCTTTGAAAGTGGGTAAGAGGACTGAAAGCATCTTTAAATAGCCCCAGGGTGGGGACTAAGTGCCCTGGATGTGGAGGTTCACATTAAGTGCTAAGAACTGGCTGTGCATTAAGTATGGGGGGGGGAAGGGGTCTTAGGACGACTTGGGGGTAGGGGCAAGCAGAGCCGTATGCAAGGGGTTTGGTGCAGGGGGAGATTCCAGAACACTCAGATAAGGTCATGAGTCCTCTTCAGAGTGCCCAAATGCTGTGCTATCCAGGACAGCCAAGGGGACTGAGGCAAAGCAAAGATACTGGGAATGCAGAGAAAGCCTGGGCTGGAGCTGGTATGAGTGAGGACTGTGCAGGTGTCCAGCACGAACAGACGACCAGAGGTCCAGCTTCCTACTCTACTCCCACCAGGAATACCTCTGGCTGGGTAGCAGAGCTCGCCCCCAAAGTCCCTCCTTTATGGCCAAAAAACTGCCTAAATCCTTCTCCCCTCCCTAACTCAGAACTAGCTCTGGTCCTGTGCCAGATCAGAGCCCCCAGTCTGCACTGCGAGCGCACATGCTGCAGAGTGACCTTGGGCAAGTCACATTCATTCCCTCTGCTGCAGCTGCAGATCGGGCCACTCGTTTTGTGTGGGAATTTTTTTTTTTTTTTTTTTTTTTTTTTTTTTTTTTTTGATCTCTGCTAAGAATACCTGCCCCAGATAATGCTCAGGCTCTGGCAATTCCTGCAAACCACCGCAGGCATCAAAGGCTCCCAGCAGGGCCAGATCAGACCAGTCCCCCAACCCCCACCGCGAGTCCACCACCACCACAGGGGGGCCGCAGTGCCGCCAAATTTGGGGGACAGAGCCCTGTCGGTCTAGGGGCGGGGAAGCATGTGTGTGCAATGCAGGGGAGGGGAGCTCAGCCCCTTGCGGCAGAAAGCCTCAAATCCCACCTAGCCCGCTTTCTGACCCATTGTACAGGGGTCTAAAGTGAGGCGCCCTTGGGGGAGACTCTGGTCCCCCAGGTTCACATATCCATCGCGGCCTAAAAGCTGCACTCCCACCCCAGATCCGCCGCCTGGGGGTCCCAACGACCATGCCCCACCCAACGGGCATGCCCCCCACGCTGGCGCCGATTCCTGGTGACAACTGCCACGTGCGGACAAGGGGGGAGCGGCCGGTCCCGGCATTGCAGAGGCAGCGCCCGGGTGCCCCAAGCCTCCGCACCGCACTGTGGCCCGGCTCGCCACAGGGTGCCCACCCCTTTACCTGGCCCGCGCTCCGGGCCGGGGCGGGGGCGGGGGCAGGCAGCGGGGTCTTTGTTCCCGCAGCCGGAGCGCAGCGGCGGCGGCAAGGGGTGCGCGCCCCCCTTTGCCGGCCCAGCCTGCGCCTCGCGCGACAGCGGAGCCCGCCGCTCAAGAAGAGGAGACCTGGGTGGGGGGTCCCGGCCGAAGAAAGGGTCCTGTACCGAGGTCCTGGCGCTGAAGGGCCGAGAACGCCCCTCGGCCGAGAGAGGGGCCCTCTCCCTCCCCTGCGCCCCGGCGCTGCGGTTCCCGGCTGGGGGCGGACTTGGAGCGACTTAGCCGGGGCTCCGGCCCCCGCCGCTCGCTCACCGCGGCGTTACAGCCCGCTCCGGCGTGCCAGCGCGCACACTCACACGCTCCCCCAGACCCACACGCTCCCCGCGGGGACAGCCCGGGACCCGCAGAGGCGCGCACGCACTCCCTCCGGGGCCCGCACACTCCGCACCAGCGCGGCGCGGCGTCCGATCCCGCGCCGCACCGGCCGCGCGGCGCCGCCTACCTTTCCAGACGGCGGAGATGCGGGGTCCGTTCTTGGGGTGGCCTTGGGTGGCGGCGGCCGTCCACAGCAGCAGCAGCAGCCGCAGCGGGAGCCGGGACCGAGCCAGCGGGCCGGGGACGCGGGCGTGCTGGGCGCCAAGGGAGGCGCATCCGGGCGGAGGCGGTGTCATCCCGCAGCCCGGGAGCGACAGCGGCGAGCAGCCTAGACTGAGCCAGCGCCCCACCAAAAGCAGAGCTAAGGCGAGGAGGCGGAGTCAAATGCCTGACCCCACCCTCCCCCTCCCGCCCCCCCCTCGCAGCCTTTCTCGCCTCCCTGCTGCCCAAGGGGGGCGCAGTGCCCAGCGCCGGGGAACCTTCGCCACCCACCCCCTCCTCGGCAACTCCAAGGGGAGAACCCAGGCCGCCAGGGACTAGACAGACTTACGGTCTTCTGTTATCGGTGGCAGGCCCTGTCCCCTCTCTGAGCCTCAGGTCCACTCCCCTCCACCCTATGAAAAGGTTGGCCTAGAAGTTGGGGAGGACCTCTCCCAGGGCACAGACCAGGTAACCTCAGTAATGGCCAGCTAAGTGGCTTGGACCCTGAAAGCTGTAGTTCTCAGAGGACAGGCTGGCTTGAGTGGACACAGTTTCCTCTGAGCCTATAGGGAGGAGCAAGATGCTTTCCCCTAAGGGCAAGAGGACAGAGGGTAGATGATCTGTGGGGAGCACTCAGCACCCCATTACTGCTCTGCTGTGAGAACACGGAATTTTCATCTTGGCCTGACTCCCTCCCCTCTCCCTTCTCCTCCCTTCCCCAACCAGCAGCCTTCTGGGCTGCCTCCCCCCAGCCAGCTGGTGTATGCTCAGAAAATCCAAACTCATTTCCATGTGAGTGGAAGGGGATATAATTAAGAAGGCCCCTTTCCCCAGTAGAAAGAGAAGGGAGCATCCTGCATTCCCAAGACTCACTGTCCTGGATGCAGGGTCAGACCGGCTTGAGGGAGTCTCTGCCCACAAGGTGTACAGGGCTCAGCCATGCAGGCAACCCAATGACCCAGTGGTGATGCCGGGCAGGATCCAGACCCAGGCCCTCTGCAGATCTGTGAACAGTCCAGGCAGCTCTGCCATTAGCTCATCCTCTCAGAGCCACATGCCTGCCCTTTGTAAAGAGGTCTCCTCTCCCTCGGGTCAGAGAGGGCCCAGACTCTCCACTTCTGCTTGTGCCTGAGGGAACCACGGATGGGAATTCCACTTCTCCAGTGCTTACTGGATACCTATCTCCAGGTGGGCTGCACTGAGAGGAGACAGGGTGAGGAGGAGGGAGCAGAGGGGCACATGGGCCTCTAGGACCCACACACCTAGCTGGACTTGATTCACTCGAGGCAGATCCCAGCAAAGACAGGGTGCAGGCTGCCCCAGGCCACCCCGGCCCCAGCCCCAGCTTCAGCCTTTTGCCCTGCTCCATGGCCAGGGAAGTTTTATTACCAGGAAATTTTGCTTTACCATTCCATATTTTGTTTCTAGCTATCCCCTTCCTTCTTCCCTATGAGCCCCCAGATACCCCAACAGGCCAAAAGGTGAAATCAAGATGCCTCCAGAGACAGTGCAGGGCTAGGTTCCTGGCCTCCAGGGTGGGGCCAACAGCTTGCTGATGCCCAGAGGTACAGTGCCCCAAAGAGGGGGAGGCTGGGGGCAGTTCAAAGAGCCCCTCCCCAGGCGTGCACCTGAGCCTATGGCCCTGAGGCCAGCAATATATTCTGGCCCTGGCTAAGTCTCCAAGACACACACTCTCTCCAGCCCAGGGCCTCATGTCCTGAGCTGTATGGCCTCCAATGTCTGTCCTCTCTGCAAAGATAAGGAAAATTAAGAAATCACCTGCTCCTGCCTTTAAGAATGGAGAATTCCGAATTAATGATAACACTGCCCATGTGCCAGGCAACCCACTTCCACCTACGTTACCCCCAGCAGTTCTACATTGTCTCCCTCACTGAGGGAGAGGGTAGAAGCCCATATGACAGGACACTGAGGCACAGGGACAGGGAGCAGGGACTGCAATGGCTGGCACCAAGGTCACTCTGTGCTGTGCATGCTCCTCTCCGCAGCCTCGCTATAGCTCCGCCCACCCTCACAGTTTTCTAAGGTACGACGTGCTATATTATTCGGCTCCCTTTGCAAACAAGAAAACCAAGGAACAGAGAGGGAATGAGATATACCCAAGGTCACACAGCTAGGTAGAGAGAGCTGGGGTAGCAGCTCGGGCTGTCTCCTTGGGGCCTCCACCTTCATCTTCTACATCATAATGCTCTCTGTGCTCTGCCCCCTGTTGCTGCTGCCGAGTCGGATCCAAATGATCCTCAGAAAGACCCAGGCAGGGCCCAGGTTACCAGGTGCCAGGCAGAAGGGCAGGCCAGCACGGCTGGGCTCAGCCTCCCAAGCAACAGGGCAGCAGATGGAAACCAGGATAGATGCCAGGGAAGTTTTTTCCAGGCTGGGGTGGGGATGAGGGGGTAATGCTGAAGACTGTTCCACCTCATGTCCGAGGGTGGGCCTCTGGCTGGGCTTCTCCATGCCCAGTTTAGCACCTGCTGCACTCATGGGCACCCCCAAGCCGGCCAATCTAGGGGCAAAGGGCCAGATGGCAGCCCACTCCTACCAGCAGCCAGGGGAGGTGAGAACTAGGCCTATGATTGGGGCAGTAGCTCTATAGAAGGAGAGAGCAACTAGACTGTGGGCAGGTACCCAGGGTCTGGAAAGCAGATGACCAGAACTGGTGCTTGGGCATGGACTTCCCTGCCTCAGGCAGCATAGGAAAATCCACTGAGAATGGTAAAGGTGCTGACAGGAGCCTGCCTGCCTCACTGGGGGCCCGGGCTAGCCTTGGGGCCTGGAGCAAGTGTGGGGGCATAATCCCCACTCACAGCAAATGGTGGGAAACTGACCAGGAGAAGCAGCCACAGATGGGAATGCTGATGGGTCTGGGGAGGGGGGGGCGTTCATTCCTGTCCTCCCCTTCCCCGTGGCTCCCCATATGGGGGACGGGAGCCGGGGGAAGAAGGCTGGGAGAAAGAAATGGTGCAGGGCCTCCTATCTAGGAGAAAAATACCTTGAAGAGGTCTTCCCTATGAGTAGATGAAGCACAGCCAAATCCAGAAGGCCCCTTGGGGAGTCAGACTCATGGACACACACAGACCTGAAGTTCAGAGCCCCAAAGCAGCACTGGGACCCCTCCCCAGCCTTCCAAGCAAAGACTTTCAGGGCCCTACTCAGAGCATTCCTCCTCTCTCCAAGCTTTCTCTGACCTCCTCCTCAGCCCTGATTCCACGGCTACACTTGGTCTTCAAAGGAGTGACCCAGCCCTCACAAGAGCGCTCTTATAGGCACAAGGAGCCCAAGCCCCTAACAGCCCCTTCATGCAAGGCCCACCATGCTATGAGGCCTCAGAACTTGGTGTCCACCCAGGCCTCTGTCCACTCACAACAGCAGCTCTTACTGTCCATCCCCCGACCACCACTAGCACCCATGGTGGGGGTGGGGGGAGGCGGCAGAGACCGGGGAAATCCAGAGAATGGTGAAGCGGACGGGGCGGCGCTGGGGAACACTGGGAGGGCACATGCTCTGTCTACTCAGCCCCGGCCACAGGGGCCACGGGAAAGTCCACCCAGTAGGACAGGCAGTCTGATTTTTCAAGAGAAGCTGAAAATTGAATTTTTATTGAAACTCCCAACTCCCAGTTTTAAAATACTGGCACACACCTCAAAGGCACTGGAGACCATGTCTGGAAATTCCAACTTGCTGTGTGCTCACTGTATGCAGGCCCGTGAGTATCTCATGAGTGCAGGCAGACGCCAAAGCCTTAGCTTCCCCTGGATTTGGCCCAACCCTCTGAAGAGCACGTTAGGGTTTAGGGATGGACCACGTGAGGTGCACACAGGAAACCCTTCTTGGCTTGTGCGGGCCCTGGTCCCACAGCTCACCTTTCCCTTAGTGTTCTGCCTGCCCCTAAGATTCTGCCAGGATGTTCACCTTGAGTGCTGGCCCCTCCCCACATATCCAAGCCTGACTCTTCCTTCTAGGCCAGCTCAGAGCCATCGCCTCCACCTCCTACCCCTGAGGGTCAGCACTTCCCAGCAGTATCCCATTCCTGCATCTCAGTTCTCTGTCCTAGTTATTCTAGATGCATTTGCATTAGTTTGGTTCTACCCTAAATTGCCAAGATTGGGGTCTGGCCTGCTAAGTGGAGAGACAAAAGTAAAAACCCACAGGGGCATATTCAGTGATGGCCAGGAGATTCGCAGATAACAGCTAGACCTTTTCTCCTTCCATCAGGGCACTCAGCTCACCTAAAAATATGTCAGGTCCTGCCATGGCTTCCAGGGGCAACCCAGTGTCTTAGCCCCAAAACTCTGCCGGCTTGGCACTGGGCTTGTGGCAGGAGTGCCACCTGGTGGCCACTTTGGAAAGAGCGGAGTCAGCCTAAACTGTACAGATAACTGGCAAGACTTTCTAGAGACAAACTCCTCCCTCCGCCCCACCATACCCCCACCCCACCCCCCACCCCCATCTCTGGGCCTCTATTCTCAGTGTCCAAGGGCTGTGGCAGAGCAGGATCTCGTGGGAGTCATGTGGAGCCCATCTAGACTAACAAAGTCTCCTGACTAGAAGTGGCTGGGAGGTCAGAGAAAAAAATCCCAGCTGGCCATTGACCCAAGTTAGGCAAGGCCCTGCCCCAGCCCAAGCCTCCACTCCTCCGTTTACAGGAGGAGAAAGAGGAGCTATGCTTCTTCTGGTCCATCTCCCTCTAGACCAGAGACCAACAAAGCTCTCTCTTCCTACTTTCTGCATGTCCTTCTTGTTTGCAGGTTGGAATACATATGCTTCTAAAACTATGTCTGCAGGATAGGCATCCCAGGACCCTCCCAGCTCTGATGTGATGCCTGATTGCTGGGCCTCCTGAATGAAAAGAAACACTTGCAGATATGTAGTCTCCCACAAACCATTCCCAGTCTTCCATAGATACAGTGATCTAAGAATCCCAATTCTTGACTCTCAGAGGTCATTCGGTCGGACCTGGGAGCCCTTCGCGGCAGCCCTGATGGTGGTCATGCAGCCTCACATACCTCCAGTGATGACGAGCTCACCTCCAAGGCAGCCTTGCCCACCTTACTTAGCTCTGATAAAGACGTCTCCCCCCAGAGGAAGACTCCTGCCCAGTGGTCCTAAATCTGTCCTCCAAGGCCACAC